TGGTCTAAGACGTGTTGGGCTCCAGTTCTGCTCCTGAAAGGCCAGGAATGTGGAGTGAAAGACTGAAATCAACAGCACCTTGCGCAGCAAGTTCATCCTTGAAGGCGGGCGTGCAAGAGGCAATGGCGGTGGCTGTGAAGTGTTGGGCACAGCTGGCGTGATGAAATTTGCAGCCGTGGCTGGGGTGCCATCGGGCTGCGGATCATGGCTTGCATGCACATGCTGCACTCCCTGCGGCACGAACCCCTTCTGGGCCCTGTCAGCTGGTTCAGGTCGCAGCTGATGATCTCCAGGAACTGCAAAGCCAAGCTCCTGGAGCCTGTGTTTGGCCTTCGTCTCGGCTTTCCAGTAGCTGCCTGTGGTGAAAGCAGTGAGAGTGATTCGGTGTCCGGATTTCCACAGCTGGGTTGCATGTCGCTTCTTGGGATTGAACACACAAGGCACACCAATCGTCAGAGGCATAACTTGTCCTGCAATGTGGTTTGCTCCTTCAGCTTTGACCTCGATGGGACCTACGACCGTGTCACCAGGCTGCAACTCCAACCATAAGCCCCCACCCTTAGGGGGCAGAACTACTGGCACCAGGACATTGGCGCTGCAGTTGAACACATCCCTGTGCATTGGTGCAGGCACATCAATGCTCAGCATGATTGAAGTGAAAGGCAGGTCACTTGCGTGTGTGATCATCCGACTCAACAGCCTGGCCAATTCAGGACGTTGTTCAGTAACGTTGCTCACACCAACGATCCCACCGTGGGTGTACAAGCCGAAACTTTTGCTCATGCCTGAGTGTCCTCCAAAACGCTCTTGCGATGCACTTGAGGACTCAACCCAGACTGATGCAAGCTGCTCTAGTACTTCAGCTGCAAAGTCAAAGGAAAAATTGTTCAAAGCTGAGGCGCATGCTGCTTCTTCAACTTGGGCTGTTGTGCTGTCATGCATGGTGAGCATGTGCAATGGCACATCCTGATCCGGCTGGCAGTTGATGCTTTCGTCACCGGCATACAGATGCTGTTCGCCTCTGATTGAGCCTGGGGCTACTCGCTCGAAAGCATCACACGGCAACAGCAAGTGCCCGCTCTCAGCAGACTCCAATTGAAAGGATTCAGAGCCTGGGGGGAGAACCAAAGTGACTTCACCCTCCGCAGGAAAGTGGAGGACCTTGCGATGGCAATCTAGGATCGCCTGCCGATCCTGCAAAGCACGCAATCCCAGCAGCGCTGGGCATCCAGACTGGACAACAACTGGCGATGTGAATGTACCAGTAGCTACACTACCGTCCTGACGGGGCAATGCGATTGGCAGTTGGCAGTCCTGGGCACACTGCTGTGCTCCCTTTCCTACGCCACCAACTTGCAATGGCGATGACCTGTTGTGCATTGCTGGCACGCGCTGCATGCGAGAAGCTGCTTCAGCCAACCAACCCTCCCCAACTAGGTTACCGTAGGAACCGGGATCCACTAGCAAACCGATGCGCCCATTCGGCAAACGGACAGCAGAGTGGTACGCTGTTGTGGAGGACTCACTACTAGCGGTTGACGATGAAGCCGGTTGCACATTATGATCCACTACTGGCCACCACGGAAAAGCTGACTCAGGAGTATGAAACTCCTCTCGGGCCACCGGAGACTGATCTGGCGTTGCCTGGAGGCTGGCATGTTGTGGTGTGTTGGGTGCACTCGGTTGGTCAGTCATGTTCGGCTCAGGATCGGCTGCGGGAAGCTGCTCAGCATGATCAGGTGGAACCTGAGTCTCTGGAGCTCCTGGGGTTGTAGATGTTGTCGAGAGTGCAACAGTGGGGTAATGCCATGATCGGATCACTGGTGCTTGGGCCCTGCAGTTGGGGCACTCCACTGCCATTTGTCCTGACTCATCAAAGCTGGCTCCATTTTGAACCGCCAGCTCACCAAGGCACATACAATGGAACACATGTCCGCATTCCAATCGGCAAACATGGTCACCCGGCCGAAAATCCTCAAGGCATACTGTGCACGAGGCGACGTGCCCATGGAAAGACCTGGCAGGCGCATGCTCCTGTCGACTCAAGGGTGCCTCCACGGCGGTTTGTCCCTGTGATTGGGAAGTTCTCGCGCCAGCCCTCAAAGCATGCACCTGGCCGAACACTGACACTGAGCTTGCAGACGGCTCGGCAGCGTCCGGAGTGATCTGAGAAGGCACAATCATTCCAGGTGGCTGAGGTATGTAGTCTGTTGCGCTGGGAAACAAACCAGATGGAAGCTGTAGACCTGAAGCAAACACCGATGGTACTGAGGGCGACCGTCGGCTCGACGCAGTCGCTCTGTTGTCACGTGGTGCCCTTATGCTAGCTGATGCCTCCTGTGCTGCTTGCATAGCTATACTCGTGTCTTGGAACCAGCCGGGTGTGCTGACAGTCAGAGCGGACGCAAGCGGTGGTGGAGGATTTCGGTTGAAGTCCAAAGCATCGGCGAAGGTTTGGGCCGGACCTACATCACCGATTCCCGGAAGAAACCAACCGCTACCCCTAAGACCTACTTGATCCTGCCCTCCAGCACTTGCAGGCGCGCGTGCCGCTGCACTGCTAGTACTTGCAGGCGCGTGGTCCGCTGCACTGCTGTGACTTTGCTGGGATTCATCACGCATCCACTGCATCCAAGGATCAGGTTGCGTCACCCACGGGTCGGGCGACAGCTCATGTTGTTCTGGTGGCTGTCGCTGCCCAGACGAAGTAGGATCTACGGGGGCCTGTTGCTCGGTACCACCATTGTTGGCCGACTCTAATCTAGGACCGTGGGGTGCAGAAGATGTGGAGGGCGCTACCCGAGTAAAGGATGAAGCCATAGACCTTGGGGTATCAAGGTGTGACCACGAACCATCAGATCCAAAGGCAGCGAAGTGTAGGCCTGCAGTGGCCTCAACTGTAAACGCTGGTCCTGATCGGCTTGGCTGCGCACTGGTACTGGCACCTGAAGCCTGAGCTTGATCACCTGCTGGGGCATTAGGCCTGCGTGGGCAGCGGGCACGCAAGTGGTAAGAGGAGCCGCATGTACTGCATTTCAAGGGTTCACCGTCACGACCACGAGGGTTAAGCTTCCTACCGAAACCTTTCCCCGAACTAGGACCGCCCTTACCTTTACCCTTGAAGTAAGCAGACTGCTGGAAGAGCTCGTTGAGGTTCACGTAACTCCTCTGTTTGCCCTTGCCCTTGCCCTTACGCCTAATGACCCTTCTAAGTGCCCTAACAGGTTTCCCCGTGAACCGGCGCCAACGGCGCTTAGCGTTCTGGTACTCACCGAACAAATATTCGTCCACGGCCGAGGTGCTCATACCTTGAAGGTCGCTGACATCCATAGGCTCATCGTTGTCAGATGAGGTGCCCGTGTCGGTGTCTGACGCACCTTCTACTTGCATAGCAGCAAAGGCCCAATCAGTTGACTCGGCTGAAGACCAAGCGCCCATGCCTGCTGATGGCCAATCATATGTAGCCTGCTCGCCCGTCCCGGAAGAGCCAGTGTCGGCTTCAGCAAGGAAAGATTGGTGAGCAGAAGAGTGCCCTCGAAGCCCGGATGCTATGTTGTTCGGATGCCGCTCAACGATGTGCCCCATGCGGCGTAGATGGTGGCACATCTGGGCATACTCCTGTTCAGTACTTGGCATCCTCAGGCCAAAGGGCTGCGTCAATGCTTGAAATTGTTCCGAGTTCACGCCGCAAGCTCGGAGAAGCAACAAGGATGCCGTCTCGACACTGAGCGCACCTCCTCCTTCTGTGCGCGCCCTCTGACGAGTGATCTCAAAACGCGAGACCAGAGCATCCACTGTCTCACCATGCCGCCTGCCAAAGGCCAACAAGTCCTGTGCTGCACGCAATCGTGTCTCCTCGTCCAATGGTGCGAATCGCGTGGAAAGCCCGTGCAGCAGGTAACTCACCGGATCAAGTTGGCGGCCATTGATCACACCACCATGGTACACCTCTTGAGGTGTGATCGTCCTCGCCAACTCTCTAGCTGACCCACCCAGTTGACTAATGATCGCTGCACACTGCTGGTGTGGTTCCATATCCGTGCAAATAGTCCATAACATGAGATCCTGCATCCATGTGCGAAAGGGAAGGCTAGACTCCATAGCCGGGTCCCACCTTGGAGGCAATCTCATGTTGACAACCTGTCCCGGGTTTGCTGGCTGAAACATCATTCCAAAAAGCGAAGCTGCGCTGACTGCTACCAGTAAATAAGCCACAGTCCTTGAATGGAGGCGGGAAACCAACGTTGTTCCAAAGGCCTTGCCTTGTGGGGTCGATTGTAGGCCACCATCCGGCTGGGGCTCTGTGCGGCTGGGCTCAGACCCATCCGAGGCAGTGACTTTGGGCTGGGCTCTGAGCCCCGGCGCAAAGTCACTGCCACAGACTGGGAACCCGCAAAGGAGGACCATGAACCCTAGGCTCAGTTGGACTCCTACACTACGTAGCATCATCGCCCTGCTCGTAGCAGAGCTCCGCTACCAACTAGAAGAAAAGTTCAAAGAGGAAACTCCCGAAAGAAAGGACTCAAGAGACCCTGAACTCCCAGCCCAGGGCGCCCGGCAGTATCTGCCTTTTCGCGAAGACGTGCTTGGTCAACCAGTGGCTGCGAGTGAAACTCCTGAGTGTGAATGCAAAACGAGTCACCTCATTCCTACTGAGAATCCTATAACCCTAATCCCCAAACCGAGTTCCTTCAAACCACAACTCGGGAACCTTAAATTCGCAAGTCTTGAACTCTGATCTACAAAGCCTGGGCTCTGAATATGAGCCCCGTTGCCGAACGCTTAAACCGAGAACCTCCAACCCTGAAAACCCTGAACCCCAGTATAGCCCAAACACTAAACCCCCCCCCCCCCCCCCCGAAAAAAAAAAAAATACAGTCCTTTCCGAACCTCTGAAGAACCCCGATGGAGCCCCTGACAAAGCCCGAAAAGAACCCTAAACCTCAAACCCACGACATCGTAGCATGGAGCCCTCCTTCCCTGAACCTCGAAGCTCCCACCTTCTCCTGCACGGCCACGACAGGAGGGGCTCGGGCCCGCCAGGAGGCCATGTCGCGACGAATCTGGCAGTCGGCAGAGTTTGGGATCTTGTCTAGATCTCCTTCAAAGGGGTGGTTGTCAATTTTTGGGTCCTTATTTTCATACGGCACCTAATATTTAGGGTTCCCAAAAACGGACCGTCATTTTGACAACCACCCAAATTAAGATTTCGGATGAGGAGCGGGGCTTCAGGCCTCTGAACGCGCTGGTGTTGCAGCCGGGATGTGGCAAGATTTGGGGTTTCAAGACTTGCGGTTTCGAACTAGTCTAGTAGGGCCCATACCAACGAGGGGTCATGCCAACGACGTGCTATTGGCACGGCGCGTCCCAGATGTCGCCCCTACCTTAAGGCCAGTTGCCATGGCTCCGCTTCCTTCCCTTCCCATGCGCAGAGTTTAACCAGAACATCAAGATTCACCCAAACCCTTCAAACCGAATCGAAACACCCTAAACCCCTTATCCAACCCGAAAAGTCACCCCTGCATGTAGTAAGCTCCATAGGAACCCTTACAGTACCCTTTGTAGCTGGTATCTGGACATCCTGAAACCCAACCGGAACCGCCTCAACCAGCTCTGACAGAGTCGACTCCAGCGCTGTGACCATGTGCAGGGTCTGCGCCTGGGACACACCAGTCAAGAACTGCCGAGCCCAATTAGGGACTTTAGTATGGGGCTTCGGGTGTAGAGTACAGGGTTTAGGGTTTCGGGTTAGTATAGGGCTTCGGGTTTAGGGTTTAGGACTCACGGGGCTCAACTTGCAAGGCTTTGGGTTTACTTTCTCAGGGTCTGGTGTTTGGGATATGAAGATCAGGGCCACGAGGCTATTGCAGCCGGTCTAGGCAGCGAAAACCTAGGGGAAATGCCGCACTCCTCAAACCCTGAGCTCCCTATAGAACCCCGATAGAACCCTTCTAGAGCCACCCTTAGAGCCCTGAAAAGGAACCTTTGTTTAGGAATACAGTAAAATACAGTAACCCTCCTATAAAATACAGCAACGCTGCTAGTTTCTCGACAAGGGAAGCCCATACCTTTCAAATGCAAGGCAGCCACTTCCAGAACCTTGTCGCTTCCTTCCAGTCGCCTTAGACTGGAGGGTCAGAGGCGCAGGGGAAAGCCGGAGCCCAACCCAAGACCCTACTTCATTATAGTACACTGTAGTATAACCTAGTTCCGTAGCATCGCACGAAACGGCTTTCACGCCAGATTCGGATTTAGTGTCGCGTGCGTTACGGGTTTGCGTGGAGGGCTTTGGGGTCTTGGGTCCTACAGTTGAGGACAAAAAACTCAGAGCTCGCATCGGAGACTGCGGTCATGCGGAAGTGTGGTGTTTTCCCACCGTACTTGAAAAGATCTGCCTGCGAACTACGGGACCTTAGGCGTACACAGCCACGACCAAAAACCCGAAAAAACTAAACCGCAGGACCCCTACCACCGACTATACCATGAAGCCAAAATCCATGTTCAAAGGGCCCAAGGTCTAAAGCCCGCACCCACGACAAAGGGGTTCAAGGACATAAAACAAACCTTCCCTCCCGAGGGCTCTGAGCTGTGAGGACCGGCCTGGCGCCTTGTACTTTTGCCTTTTGCTTAGTGCTTAGTGCTTTAAGGTTAGCGTACACGGTCTAGGGTCTAATGTGCAGGATGTTGGGTTTAGGGTTACAACTTACTGCTGACAGGTTCGAGTCTACGAATAAAGGTTGGGTGTACCCACATACACTCACTTTCCCAAACCTTGATACGTGAGTGGGGCCGGTGGATTGTATTCAGGAGTTCTCAACCACTAACCTGAAAGGCCCTGATCATGGAAACCCTACTGAACTCCATAGAGCCCTTTTGGACCCTGCAGGAGCCCTAGGGGAGCGATTGTGCAACCCTTGCGGGCCCGACCGAACCCATGTCTCAACTCCTACAGACCCCTCTCCCCGACGTGGCGCAGCAACATCGCCGTCTGCGCGACGCCCAGCAGAAGCGAGACTCCAGAAGACAATGTCGAGACGGCGGGTCCCTGGTAGGCTATGGAGAGAGAGGCTATAAGAGTGACGTTTTTTTTTTCGTTTTCCTACACATATGTCTTGTTTAAGCGTTGTTGCAGAAGCAAGGATTTGCAGGGCTTTGATCGGAGCTTTTCAATAATTCCACAGATCGACACGAATCTCACGAAGCCCACGCAGAGAAGCGAAGATTCGAACCTCAAGGTCCCCACCCCCCAGAGCCCCCGCAACTGCTGGAATCCGGGATTCGGAACCAAGGCGTGGAGGTGTCGTACGATCCAGACATTTTACGGTTTTGAGTCTAGGGATCAGGGTTTAGGGATCAGGGTTTAGGGTTTAGGGTTTAGACATGGACCAAAGAAAGATTGGAATTCCAGAAGCTTTCCATCCCGTACAACTGCAATAAACGAGGTTAAGGACTTCGGGGCCTCGTGCTACAAGTAGAACAGGGAGCCCAGCCCAAAACCGTGTTCTAAGTATTCAGGGGTATATCACACCATACTGACACTAAGGAACCCCAAAAGAGTATTGATAGTTTATGCCCCTATATTAAGTCTTAAGGCCCCTACATGAACCGTCCTACATCTCAACACAGGGTCCACGTCAGTCCCTTGAAGAGCACATGCAAGAGTTAAGAGGCCACTGCAAAGTCTCATGGTTTAGGATTTGGAGCTCAGCTGAAAGCAGCATGAGACTTGACCGTGACGAACAAGAAAGTTCGGAACAAGCCCATGGCGTCGGATAGAATGGGACATCGAGACATAGCACATATGAGTCGCCTATTGCTACGTATGACGTTGTACAGATGCCGTGCCCCCATTGACTTCTCCGGAACCCTCAAACCCAAATCCCAAACGTTGCAGCACAAGTCACCCATGACTTGGAAGAGCGTATGCGGCCCTCCTGAAGGCAGGCATCCGATGCAACGGATCCGGGCACTTAGTAAGCAGGGTTAAGTGAGGATACTACTGATACTGCTACTGCTTCTGTCACCTGCCTTCATCTCCGTTAGTCTGTCTGGTTCTTCGTCGGGAATGGGGGCATGCATTATGGAGACTATTCTTGGGGATTATATAAGGACTACTGTAGGGATCAACTCCCCCCTGCCCTACTAAGAACCAGGCAGTCCATTAATCCCTAATCCCCTAAACCCTAAACGCTAATCCCTAAACCTTAACCGCTAATCCCTGATCCCTAAACCCTAATCCCTGACCTGGCCTCGTGGTCCTCGCCATTCCGTCGCTTCGGGCGGCTCGGCATCGGAGCCCCGCGTGGCAGAGGGGGGAGGATAAAAGGTTTGGGACATCAGGGCTACGGTTTAGGGTTTAAGGTTTGGGGTTTGGGATGTCAGGGCTGGCTGGTTTAGGGTTTAAGGCTTGGGGTTTGGGACATCAGGGCTACGGTTTAGGGTTTAAGGTTTGGGGTTTGGGATGTCAGGGCTGGCTGGTTTAGGGTTTAGGGCTTAGAGTTTGGGGTTTAGGGTTTACAGCAGAAGCCGAAAAGTTGGAAACCCAATGGCCTCAATCCTTTAAGAGTAATGTATAGGGAATCCCAGCACTATTTGGCCTTAATCCAATTTCCAACTTTATGGGGTTTACTGTAGGGCCTTTAGGGTTTAGGGTTTGGGATGTCAGGGCTTAGGCTTTTCGGGTTGATGGTGTTGGGTTGCGGGGTTTAGGCTCGGGATTTGAGGCTTAACCTTCGGGATCCCAGACTTGGAACTTAAGACTCAAGAATTCTTCGGGATCTCAGATTTGGAACTTAAGACTCAAGATTTCTTCGGGATATTTCGGGATCCCAGATTTGGAACTTAAGCGACAAGATTTTGGGTTCCGGGTTCGGAGCTTTAGCTCTTGGATCTTTTTGCGGGGATCTCGGGGCTCGGGGACTTGGGGATCTCGGGGCTCGGGGGCCTAGGGGGTGGTGCGCTTGGGATCTTGGATTTTGCAGTTCTGCAGCTCCAGAAGGACTTGAGCTTCAAGCTGCGAAGCAGCAGCACTAGTACCATCACCATTGCTCCTATTCCTATTCCTAGTCCCAGTCCTAGAGTACCAGTACTGGTCTTGGTACGATTACTATTACTGTTGCGCGATTACTATTACTGTTGCGCGATTACTATTACTGTTGCGACTGCTATTACTCCCTAAACCTTACTGGTCGTCTGTCAGCGGCTCCGCATACAGGACACAACTTGGATTGGCTATGCAAACCGTGCCAGGAAACAAAGCTCGCACAATAGGCATATCATAGGACAAAGTGTAGGAAAAACACACAGCCTTCTGTGAAGAAGACGTGGTGCTTAAGAAGAGGCGCTTGGGGCTTTCGCTTGGTTGAGGGACAACATCAGAGAACAGCCACCAAAGCCCCCAAGCCTTTCGAACTCAAACCCTCAAACTCTAAACGCTAAATCCTAAAACCCAACCTTCTAAACTCGCCCAAACCATTCGAAACCCTTTCAACAACTTCTGAACCCGAAACTAAAGTCTCCAAATCCCCCGGAAGAGCCGGATCTTGCGAGGCAACCTTGGCTGACTTCTGAACCCCTCCAAAAAAGTCAAACTTTTCGCCTCCTTATTATAGTTCATATAGACACCTAAAAAGTTAAAGTCCGAAGAGCCAACCAGAAGAACGCCAAGCAACGACATGCTCTCTATCCCTTCCCTCCCAACGAACCTCTTCGATTCCTGCTCGGCTTGCGTCAGTTTCAGCTTCAGTGGAGTTCGTTCTGGGGCGGTACTACTACTTCTTCTACTGCTACTTCCACTACTTCTTCTACTACTACTGCTTCTTCTACTGTTAGTAGCAGTAGCAGCACAACTTCAACTGCTACGCAATAAAAGGCCGGGCGAGTCCCAGGGGGACACCAGAAAGCAGAAGAACAGGCAGATAATATCATCCACATCAACAACACTCCAAATATTATTTATATTTTGTTATTATTATTATTTTATTATTATTTTTATTATTACTATTATTATTATTATGTTTATTATTATTCTTATTGTTATTGTTATTGTTATTGTTATTGTTATTGCTATTGCTATTGTTATTATTATTATTATTATTATTATTATTATTATTATTATTATTATTATTATTATTATTATTACTATTATTATTATTATTATTACTATTATTATTATTATATATATCAATATGTACATATGTATATATGTTCACACATATGTCTCATATAGCAAAGAACAGAGAACCTGGGAAGCCAAGCCTTCGAGCCTCAAACCAACATCGTACACCGAAAGTCCACGGTTCCTTCTTGTCGTTATGGGGTAGAGGACTCATGACTCAGCTCTCTGCCGCGGCATTTACGAAACCTGCATACAAGTGTGCAGGTGATCGTCAGGGAGATAATGCATCTGAATAAACACGTAGAGTCGTTGAAGAGATTCAATCAGAAAAGCAGTACACCTAGACTAGTACCAACTGATCGTCGTGGTCATGGTTCTCATGGTTGTCGTGGTGCTCCATCACTGTTTCGGGATCGGCGCTGGCATAACTAAGGCCCTCAGATATGGAGTGGGGCCTGCATTAATGCCTACAAGTCCCTAAATCCAAATCGCCAAAGCCTAAACTTGAAAAGCCACACAGCCGCAAAGGACCTCACCACAAAACGCTAAGCTTCGTGACTCCCGCGGCCCCCAGACACTTTGCCGCCAGAAACAGCCACGGCTTCCACGGCTTAGGGATTTTGCTTGAAGGTTTTCGGAACTAGGGTCTAGGATCTAGGGTGCAGGGCCTGAGTTGTTTCAATGCTTAAGCCTGAGAGTTTGGGGTGTTCAGGCGTCGGGTTGATAATCTGGACTTTCCCACCTCCATGATAAAGATGAGATTCCCGCCAAGAGCCCGCTCGATCCTGGAAGCGGGAACAAGACAAAGACCACTGCCAGGTCAGTCAGGACATCGTTGCAATGCTGTTCTTCTCAGTATGTCCAACCTGACGACGGGCGGAGGCTAGTGACTAGTGTTGTTGCCACCAGTGTTCCTGTCATCACTACTGCCCATGCTACCACTCTAACCACGTCTTCTACCATCGCTCCCTACCAAACAAAAAGAGCTCTGAACCTCCGACATCCCAAAAAAGCCCTGCCAGGTCTTCCGACGCAAAAACTCCACGAGGTTTGTCCTCGTCGCCAGAGCCCCTCGGACCAGCTCGATGCAGTTCCTCGAAAAACGTCCCGGCTTCAGGCTGCTAAGCTTAGGAGTTCGGCTTTCAAAGATGCGGAATTGCAGTCCAACGCTGAGGATAGGCTCCAGGATGGCGTGAGGGGCATGAGAGAAGGACCTCCACCTAAACCCAAACGACACATACTCTGAAACATCAAAGTTACAAGCCCTAGCAGCTCTCAAAGCCTTAAGCCCTGGACTATCCTTAAAACCAGTTGCTAAACATGCAGGAGTTAGGCTTGGAGAGCTTGCGATGTACGACGCAGGAAAGGGGTTGGGCTTAAGGCTTGGAGGGTTCAGGGTGTGAAGAATACTAGAAGGGATACGATAAGGTACTTTAAGGGCACTTTAACGGTACAAAAAGGGTACTTTAAAGGTACTATAAGGGTACCTAATTATTAAATCTTCGGCCTTAGCCAGCACAGTCTCAATGCTTTCCCGGCGGCTTCCTCAAGGGGAACTGCTTTGAATTCCACCTCGGTCGTACTAACCCTTTCTTCGGGAGTCGGTTTCAGGGTTGGGCCTGTTGGGTGCGGGCGTTATGGGGTTGCTGATTCGGACGAAGATTTACATCTCATGAAGAGCCCCGATCGCAGTGGAGGAGGCAATATAAGGAGGCCAGGAGCCCAAGCCCGACGCAACCGAAGATGAACCATTACATCCCCAACCTGAAACCCTTGAACCCCATGCCCCTAACCGCCTCTCTTAACCCCATATCAGCTCAAAGAGCCTTCTCTCCGTGACATAAACAACAGCCCTTGAGTCAGCCAAGGATCGTCAGTTACTCGCGATATGTTCCCCACTCAAATCGACGAAACATACCGACAAAACGTTGAAACACAACCTGTAACTAGAGGTGTATTGCGGATTTCGAAACCCTGTAGGACCCTACTGAACCTTGAACTCAACCCTACAGCAACCCATAACACCCTCCTTATTGAAACTCCATATAAGCCCCACATATTCCTTTGCTTCATGAGTACATAGGAATACTACATATTCCTTTTCTTCATGAATACGTAAAAGCCCTATATATTCTGTTGCTTCATGAGTTACATGCCGTTTTCTTCAGCTTGAAGCAAGAAGGTCGCTTTCCGGGCTCCACGCGCTCGATCCCTGCGCAGGAGAGCCAGGCGCTTGGCCTCCAAAGCGTCTTGGCTTTTTGCTTGGGTTTAGGGTTTAGGGTTTAGAGTTTAGAGTTTCGGGTTTAGGGTTTAGAGTTTAGAGATTAGGGTTTATTAGAGTTTGGCACATGATTGAAGGCGATAGCACCCTTTTATTCCATAACAGTTCCCATACGCGACACGCCCCCACCGACAGAAAGCGAGACATACACCCCAAGCCCCCATGAAGACAAAGCCTAAAGTCCTACGAACCCCTAAAAGGGAATTCTACTATAGAACCCTGCAGCAAATCCTTATAGAGCCCCCCCCCCGTATAGAAACCAAGATACTAAAGCGCTAAACCCCAAATGCCCAACCTGAGCAAGGACCTCGGAGACCATGGGTGCCTTCGGACGCATCTCGGTGCCTGTGAAGACGATGAAAACTC